CAGTGGGCTGTATAGTTTTATCAGTCTTAGCAGAGCTGAGCTGCTGTCCAGAGGTATTGAACCTAGCAGATCATTTGGGTTTACCTGAAAGATAACGATATAATTTTAAATACCAATGGAAATGCTCATTTTTTTCAACTAGAGGCAATGAGGACTGTTAGCTGAACACAAGTTTATATCCAACTATTTAGTAGATTGTTGTTTTCGCTGTAGTAAAAGAGTTTACAACGAACGAAAGAGTCGCCAGGCAAAATATCCTTTTAATGGAAATTTGGCTTTTCCATTTTTTCTTACACAAATACCACTTCTTTATCACCCAATAAATATTGATTAATACATAAGTCGGATGCCTTAAGGCAGCACATGATTTTTTTTGCGTTTTTAATGTAAGAAAATTAAATGTTAGAAACAACTTACCATAAGCAATATACCGTGATAAGGCCTTAGTTTCTGTAAACATTTGTCTATTGTTTCCGGTTCAATTATTAATCCTCTATTGTGTATCTGATGAGCTTTGTGTGGCAAACAGAAGGACAGCAACACCCACTTGTTTATACGACATTGAACTATACCTGCAAATTAGGAAATAATTTGATTAATATTGCACTCGTGCTATATTATTATTATTAGCTTCTCATCCCATGGTTTATCAGCTGTAATAAGGTCTATATTCAATAACGTCTTCAACATTTATTTGAACCATACTTGTTCTTCTTAGTAATAATTAACTTAAAAACGAATGTCAAAAGATGTGATTTGAAACAAAACAGTTATACAACATCACAGGAAGTATCAAATATAAATAGAATAGAATATTTGACTAGGTATAATAAATATAGATTTACATGACTTAGGCCCCTGACTAAACCCTTAAGGGGAAGGGGCAGAAGTGCATATGTTAAAAACATTTTTTTTTATGGTATAAGTCGGCAAACGAGCCGACGGATTACCTGATGGTAAGCAATCGGCGCCGCCCATGGACACCCGCAAAACCAAATGAGTTACTAATGCGTTGCCGGGCATTGCAAAATGTCTACCCACTACCTAAACAGATTGAGGAAATATTCTATGGTTTTATTCGGGATCATGGTTGGCCCAATCATGAAAGAGCAGTTTGAAATCAGATACAAAACATTTATGTACCGACAGAACTCGCTAAAATAGATACTGAGACAAGAAATTAGTATTTACTAGGTTATCTAATATCTATCTATCTAGCACGCACGTGCTAACAACTGAAAGTGTTAAAACGCAATAGTTCCATTATTTACGTAAAATAAACAATATAAGTTGCATGAAAGAATAAGATTCACAGAAATATGAATATAAATATCAAAAATAATTTGGTTTAGTTTTTTTGTTAATCCTAGAGTTGCCCTTGTCGTGGGAGCGTTTACAAATATACAAATTCCAAATCCAACCCAGACCAAAAACAAAAGGTATCGCACCCGCTACACGTTGAACAGCAGCTAGTTGCCCAACACTGCGCTAATCACGCAATCAAAATATCTATACTCTATGGGCAGAAAACGTATTAAGAATTTCATTGACCATGAATCACTGTAAGAATGCACTTATCATGTATAAGGCATGCTTCATTTATGCAATTAATAAACTATGCAGCATACCAGGAGTTAATTAATATAAACCTATGAGTTTTTAGATTAACATAACTAATTAAAATCAAATATAGTGCATACAATTTTAAACCTTAAATACAACTTTATAAGATATTTTTTGATTAGTAGAATACACAATTTTGGTCTGTATACATACATAGGTAACAATGTAAAACAGATACCTATTGTTAATTACTTACGAGAACAAAATTATACTTCGTCTCGAATGCATCGTTTCGAACAGGGTGAACCAACGCCACACAGACAACTGACGTGGATAAACACGCTTGTGTTGAGTTTCGCCGTAAGAGGGGGTACCAAAGGCTCAATCCTTCCCCGAGTCCCCAATTCTAAAATCCCTAATGCCCAAAACCACCGCAACACCCTTGTATATTCTTTGTTGTTGGCGGCCTTCATAGGTAGCGCCGATTGCTTACCGTCAACTGATCTATATGCTTGTTTACCGCTTTGTGCTTTTAAAAACATTTAAACTGAGCCTTACATACCAGTACTACTTAATTCTTCAAACACAGACTTCATAGACCTCGCCAGCGAGCTCCGTTGCAGTATCAGGTGAAACGCAGACTTCGGCGCAGTATCTGCCCCGTTTTCACTGCTATATGTTGCTGAACTGACAGAATGGCGGAGATTGTCTTCATCTTCATCGTTGTCACTTTTCATTTCACTATCCAGGACTGACACTTCATCATGAGCTGCTAACTGAAAGGTTATTTTAAACTATGAATTATAATGCCGAAAATTTAGAAATTTAATTTGTTCTATCATATCATTTAATTCTATCATGGAATATAAATCCATGATTGATTAAGTAACACTATGATCTTTAGCATGCAATCCTTAAGCAAATTTCTAAAAAGATTTGCAATATAAATATATTTAGACTTAACTGAGGTTGATGTATTAAAAAAGGGCCAAAAAATACCCTCAATTGATGATCATGGATGAAATGATATACATGTATGAAGGTAAATTGTGAACATTTTTTATATAAAAAACCATAATATTCAATGGAATATTATGGTTTTTTATATAAAAAATGTTGTTAAATATTATGGTTTATTGCATTATGCTATTCCTATATATTTGTTAAATACGAAAGAAAGTATTTAATCTAATATGCATTAATTATCTAGAACACATGCAAAAATACAAGATACACACACATCATTGCTAATATTATAAATATGTAGATGCAAATCTCTCTAGTAAATATAACGAAATAGTAATAGCTAATAAATATTTACCATTATTTTCATTTCTTCAGTCAAATATGAACACCTCTTTTCTTCATGTCTCAGTGCTTTTCCCAGTCTTTTACTCAAATCATAATAACATTTTACTAAAAAATAAAGATAGAATTTATACAGTATAGTATAATATGTATATAGATGCAAATAAGTTTTTAAGATTGAAATATAGCACCATCTTCAAAAGAGGGGTTTGCCATGGAAATATAGCACCATCTTCAAAAGAGGGGTTTGCCATGATATGACTTAGACATTAATAAATCATATTAGGTAAACTTACCAACAGAATGACTTGCAGAAGCCTGCAGAGCAAAGACAATGTTAATAAGGATCATAGTGGCTGTATCATCCTTGTTAGTCCTGTAGGGCAGTAGTGTGGGGTGTCCCACAAACCTGACATCATTTACTTTTAACTCAAACTTCCTATTACAAAGCTCAGCTTTCACGGCAAACAAGGTTGATAATATTTCATCTGTAAAACCACTTAGCTGACCTGAAACACAAATTTACATATTTATTTTTCTTTTAATATTTATTTTTTAATTCAGTTAAAGCACAACATTGCTGATTACAAAGACAAAGTCAAAATCATTTATTCCAAGTAACCATAAATAGGTAGGTACTTTTGAAACATCAAAATATAATAGTTGTATGTCAGTGAAGCTAGGTGTTACACTGACTAACTACGATTTAAACAGTCACTGTTAACTACATACGCAAATTCAATGCAACCTACAATCAACATAATTTATTGGTCATATTTGAAGATATATACTACACACAATGGAAATGGTTTAAAAAAAATACAAAACTGGCATGTTTCACAACATCTGAATAGCCTGAATGGCCAATTAAGTAGTAATTTATATGAAATATGTGTCATATAGGTTTATCAGGGACTTATATGAAAATGTTGAAACTGACCATTATTCTCAGAATAGCTACTATATTATATTATTGAAATAATTCAAATTTATAATCTTTTTAACTGGATATTCAGCATTTCATCGATGTAGGATTTACATTTTCAATACAAGTTAACAATACATTGTAACATATTTTAATTAATACAGCATGGACTTCACTATAAATGCACAAACTGCACTATCATAAAGTACATTGTTGCATATCAATAGGTAGGTAGTAGGTACATACAGGCATACATAAACATTGATTTATTCATTTGCTCTTGGGGTAGGTACATACTTTATCTACTGATATTGATATACAAAGAGTATATAAAAATAAGTACTTATAGGTTGTATTGATTCCAATAACGATCAGAATTAGTATATTAGGATGCTCCAGAAATTAAAATCTATTAAAGAACTAACCTTTACAAATATTAGACGTTTGCGATTGAGGGTTCTGTAATAAGTCCTCTGTAGAATTAATGGCGTAAGGATTGTGTCGACCATATTTTTTCTGTTTACTTTCATCCTTGTTTTCTGTTGTGTAAGGATATCTGAACAGCAACCTGTCACCCTTACTGTCAGATTTGACGAAAAATATATTCAAAGGATTCACTTCCATGATAGCACAAAGAAAGTAAATGTAACTAAATTACAGAGCATGGAGTAAACAAGGTGATTATGGACGGATATTGCAACAAAGTATTCGAATTAAAATTACACTCAAGGAATTTATCACACATTTTTCTGCTATGTGTATGTACGTAATAAAGTTTTATTACAAAATTTTTGTACAACTGTACACAAATCAAATACTATTTTATTTCTTATTTCTGCGAATTGAGCTACGCGAGACTAGAAAAACACGCAATATTTGACGTATTTGTGATGCAAATTGTAAATGTGTCAAATGTCAGGTTGTTATGTCACTGTCAGTTTTATAATTTTCCTTTACACGCATGATTGGATGATTGGATTGGATTTGATTTAAAAATGTTGATGACTCTATGATGATATTGTAAATGTTTTTTCTAGAATAATTAAGTAATGCAGTTAATAAAAAATATTCTAATCACTAAATATTTATATTCAATTTAAATATTTTGTCTATATAGATGACTTTTGAATAAAATGATATCGTCTGAAAAGACCGGATTCATTCTTGACAATTAAAAAGAAAATGAGACAAATCATTTGTCAAAAGTAGAATACGATACGATACATACCATTCGTGATTTGCTTTGCGAAAATCTATATTTTAGAAGAAATGGCTAGCAAAGTGGAAAACAATTTCAAAGTGAACCCTGAAAAGGTCCGCCTAGAAACAGATCAGGGTATCGTGGAAAGTGAAGAAAGAAAATGGCGAATGCCTTTGAAAGATGTGTACAAACACGGACTAGCGTTTTACAAAGGTAATTTTCTTGAATATTTTCTTAGTTATTTAAACCATGAAAGATATAAAAGGATTAAAATTTATTTTCTGATTATAATGTAGAAAACGTCTAAAAATCTTTATATTTCGTATTGATCGCCATTCTAAAATAATTGCGACTTATCTGATTGTTCGCTGTTTTAAGTGCTCATTATTTTTTATTGATATAAAGCGGCACTTCCTAGTATTTACATGATGCATTGTTTGTGACTAATTTTGCATAACAATTGCAGATAAGGAAGGCAAAGCTTTACATTTAAGCTATGAAGATAGATTAAAACTGGTTGCATACACCCAGCAAACATCTCATGGTCCTTTGGATGTGAATTCTGCTCCCCCATTAGGAGTCTTAGATGTTATTGGACGTGATAGGAGAGCAGCATGGCAGGCATTGGGACAGATGTCACAGATACAAGCAATGGCTGGTTTTGTCCATACATTGGACAGGTAAGACTTATTCATGATGCTGTTATCACAGAATGCTTTGAATTATTTTTGTTTACAAATATTTTTGTTCTGTTTCAGATTGTGCCCTCTTTTCAAACCATATTTAGAGGCAATACAAAAGGATATGGAAGATAAAAAAAATCAAGAGTAAGTTTAAATTAAATCTTATTTGCTCTATATATTATATGGACTTACTTAGATATTCACATAAATTATTTGAACAGGATGAAGAAGGAAGATGAAGAAAAGGCACATTTGGAGCTACAGAACAGAATAATGCTAGAGAAACAGAAACAGCAAAGTAATAAACTTACAGAGGAGCAGCAAGTGTAAGTTGTGTCTTTCTGTTGTAAAATACATATATATAAAAAGCATACTCATACTAATTTAATTCAAAAATTCCAGGCAAAGAATAAAGGATGCTCTCAATGCCCAAACATATGAACAGTTCCTACAGTATGCTCAGCAACAGTATCCGGGTAACTTTGACCAGCAAGCTATCCTCATTCGTCAGTTGCAGGACAAACATTACCAGCAATACATACAGCAGTTGGCTGTAGACCAGAGGCTTGCCAACTCTAACATTAATGTGACTGAAGACAAAGAAAATGACAATATTAATAATGAGAAGGAGAAGACAAATGAGGAATCTGACACTGATTGCAATTTGAATGAAGCTGAGCCAGCTCCACCTTCTGATAAGTGAGCATTTGCTTTTATGTTTTATTTATATAAGTTTTGATTATTTGATTTTTATAACCATGTAATCATTCATAGCATAAGTGGTGATAAGTTGTCTTACACAGTATATTCACCTCTATCTAAGATTAGAAGAAAAGTGTTATGTATACTTTAAGTTTATTATGTGTATGTAATTATAAAATAAAACCTTCCAAATCTTGACTAATGCAGTGATTTTAATAACCTGCATAGACAAGACACCAAGATGTTAATTTTCTTCAAATCTATGTTCTTCAAAAATACATATAGTATACAACAGTATAATGTGGTGTATAAGTATGTAATTTAATTATGCTTTGATTATATTATATTCTTTTTTATATTTTAATTTTATAAATTACAGATCAATGCAGACTTCAGAGAAGACTGACAACAGTGAGTACATTGAAGAGGTCAGAGTTGATGACAACACTGATGATGATGGTATGAATTATTTACCCTTTTTTAAACATTTTTGTTTTGCATAAGTATTTACTGTCATGACTAACTTAGTTATAAATGTTTGTAGGTATATCACTGTAAATTTAAACCAACAAATTATGACTTTTCATGCATTCTTCCTCTAAAATTATTGGTACTTTGTGTAATCCATAAAAGGAAAATAAAATCAAAAATAATATTTCGAAATTGTTGATCTATTTTTAAATTAAGTAAATCTTAATACCAATGTGAATATAATACCTTTCATTATGATGAAGTGTACCATGTATGTCTATAATAATCAGATTTTAAACCCTTATCTTTTAAAATGAGAACCAGATTACTAGCTTTAAAGTTGATGTTAAAATTAATATCTGATTTTGATAGCATCAGGTACTAAGTTTGCGGAAGTCCGTTATTATTATGTTATTGTCAAAAGAGTTTTCTACATACAAACAATAGACGAAATGAAGGCAGTAAAAATGAGTTTACAATAATACACGTTGTAATACCGATGCAGCACCTATTGTTACACTTCATTGTTTAAACATTAAGGATACTATAAAATTTCGGATATGGATATAATTTCGGTTACGGATATTAAAATTTTAAGGAATTTTAAAAGTAAAATACAAACAACGTGTCCCAGTGAGGTTCCGCCCCTTTCCGATATTATACGAAAGTTTATTTCGAATTCAGTTACGGTTTTTTTTTAATATCGGATATCCGATAGTTTCGGTTACGGTTACGGAGTTCCCTTACATCCCTAATATTTACTAGGATTTAGTTATTTGTTATAGTTTCTTGGTCAGTTTTGTGGTACTTATAAGTAAGCTTAGCAGATATTAAACTTTTAAACGAAGCGATAAATTTTAATACCTACTCAATGATACAGTTTAGAATTTTGTTCTAGACTTAATTCTGAAGTTTCTACTGCAAATTTTCAGAAGGTTACCTCAACGTGGAAGAAGTCCGCATGTGGACTCGAGGTGATATAGCCAAGTTCAAAAGCTCAGCTAAGCAGGGTGGTGGCAAACTGACAGTCGGCCATGGAGAGACCATTACCGTTCGAGTACCCACGCACCCAAAGGCCAGGTGCCTCTGCTGGGAATTCGCTACAGATAACTACGATATAGGTAATTTTATTTTATTTTTATGGATGAGTTCTCGTAATACCAAAAGGAGTTACAACAGACTGTGTTTTGGATATTTCACGCACGGCACACATCCCTGTAATATGTGTTTAAAATGGGTTTGCTCAAACTGAACAAACTCGCTCTAGGCATTTGGATGAGCAAAAAACGATAACCCTTAAGTGTGGGAGAGCCATGCTTCGGCACGAATGGGCTGGCTCGACCGGAATGATACCACGGCCTCACAGAAGACCGGTGTAAAACAACCACAGCGTTGTGTTTCGCCGTGTGAGTGAGGTTACCGGAGGCCCAATCGTTCCCCGCCCCCAATCCCTCCTCAATCCCTTAATCTCCAAATACCTAATCCCTAAAAGGTCGGAACGCACTCGTAACTCCTCCGTTGCGGGTGTCCATGGGCGGCACTGATTGCTTACCATCAGGTAATCCGTCTGCTCATTAGCCGATCAATTACATAAAAAAACCCTCGTAGACAAAATTATGAGACTCGGACTTGTTTGAAACTAAATAAATGTGTTCCAAATCAACTATAGTTAATTTGTATACTACATACTTTTCAGGTTTCGGAATATATTTTGAATGGACCAAATCGCCTACTACTGAGGTTACCGTTCACGTTGCTGAGAGTGATGAGGACGATGAGGAAGATGCTGACGATGACGAATATCCCGTAGGAGATGGTAATAAGACCTATTTAAAATGTTTCTTGTTTTTTAATACTTGTGGGCATTTGACTATGATTTTCTGTACATTTTTTGTTAGTTGCAAGTCAAACATTGATTCGCTATGTGGGGTCAAGTAGAAATAATAGACACGCACCTCTTGAACAACCAAACCGACATATCAAATTATACCTATATATATTTAAAAGTAATAATGTTGAAATTATCAATGTGTCAAAAACGACATGAAAGTCACGCACTTTATTTACTTATCTAGCTACTCTCGCGCTGTCTCACTCCCTGCTCGGCTCCATTTAATCGTAGCGTGATTTTTTATACTCAGGAACATTGTAGCTATGCATCAGTGAAATAATTTTGGCAATCCGACCACTGGTTCCAAAGATTACCTCCTACATACAAACTTACAATTTTTACCTCTTTATAATACATATTATTATAGATATATTTTGAGGCTTAAGTAACTATTTTTAGAGTTGAAAATCTACTTATGTTGTTAATATTTCTGTTGTAATCATGGTCGATATATCCTGTCCTGGCTTTAGATACTATTTTTTTACAAGTTCATGTATGTCTTCTAGGATCTTTCCACGAGTATACTATTCATGGCACTCGGGCGGACCTTGAGCTTGGTTCTGACAAGCGTCCAGAGAAACCGACGGTCGGAACTTCCCGCCCACTCACCAGTCTTGTAGTACCTATTTACCGTCGGGATTGTCACACTGAGGTAAGTGTAATAACTATAAGAGATGCAAAATGGTTCTTAGTTCTTTGAAATAAAGATGTTTTTTGCAATCAAAATATGGTTCAAGCTTTAATAAAATATAATTATTTATTTTTATTTCTGCTGTCTCTGGAAACCGTCTTAAATATTTGAAACATGGTTTATTTTATATTATTGTTGGCTTTAAAAGACAACTTATAATTCCGTCGTTTTTAATTCTTGGAAAAATAATGAAGCAATTTTATGTTCCAGGTATACGCCGGATCTCACACATACCCCGGCGAAGGAGTATACTTATTAAAATTCGACAACACTTACAGTCTATGGCGATCCAAAACACTGTACTACAAAGTGTACTACACGCAGTAAATATTTATTTTAACTTATAGGTATTAGAGCCATGACAGAGAAATTATATTTAACATTATGTTTAAAAATTAACACCCTATATTGCACATCCAGTATTTTTTTGTTCCTCTGGATATTTTTAGTAAAGAGGTTTTGTCAAATGCGCGTTCAAATATTGAGAGGTTGGTTGTACACAGAACCACAAAAAAGTCTAGGGCATCATAACTTATTGTGTTTTCTCGTAGGTCTCCTTGCCAGAATGTCAACTGCTGAAAAAAGTCCTTCTTCTTAAGATGACTATGACGCCAACTTGTCAGTTGGCCAGATCTCAGAAAATATTAAGGAAAGCGACTCTTAGGGTTGATTGCAGTTGTAGGACATACATAGTGCGTAAAACACTCTTTAATATTTGTTCGCTTTTCAGTGCAATAATATGAGCTTTTTAGCCGATTTAGCCGTAAACTAAATTATTGTAAACTAAGCTTTATGTACACTACACAATATACGCTTTTAGTTCAATTAATACAGGAGCAGTAATTTTTTGTTTAGTTAATGTATGCTTATTAATATTGTGTAGTTGTCTTGTATATTTCGTAAGTTATGTACCACTATTATTTAAGTAGTTTCCAACTTTTCAGTAACTTATATTAGGTTGTGCAAGGTGCACGTTTTATTTGCATTTCATTTAGATATTAATGGAGTATATTTGGTATTTATTTGTTTTATTAGATTGTACCGTAATACGGACTTATTATTTATATAATATAATATAAAAAATAAAGATATATCAGTAGGTATAATGTATTACTGTGGAATAAAAATTGTCACTGTTTCCATATTTTATGTGTTGCAGATTTTAAGCCATGTTCTTCTTCATAAAAATTATGATGTCTGTATGTCATATAACTAATTCTAATATTTATTGTTTGTGCCATTAGATGAATTATGAATGTTTATGTTTTAATAGTACTTAAACTGATAAGAATTTGATGTCTAAATACTTGTAATCACAGTTGTTATTGTTTGTGTATGAAGACTTTATTTCGTAATGTTATATGCAAAATTAAAGGAATTTATGGAAGAAATTAAGTAAAACATTTATTTTCGAACCTGTGCAAAAATACCTATTTACTTTTTGCACTAGTTTGCTCTAATCTCAGTACATTTCACGACTTTGAGCGCTTCAGCACTAGCTACGTCTAATCCGATCTGAAAATGTGGTCCGTCGGAGCTATAGAAAAATAGTTCTATCTCTATGATAATCTTTTAGGGTATCTGAACTCTGTCCGAATTTGTCCGAATTTTCTAGACTGGACCACAGAGAGGAAGCGCTTGAAGTGCCTAGACCATCCTCGTTTACTCTTACTGAATTTAATAATTTAATGCCTGTCCATATCCAGTGTCGTACTGGATATATTAAGATAAATACAAATTATATAATTTAACTCTTTTTGTTTTATTTTAAATCCCTCTAGTGAGCAATCAATTTAATCTTTCGAATGCTTCGTTGGTTGAATGCTCAAAACTATTTGCCAAGAAACAGATGGATAAATTAGTGGGTCGAAAAAGTATTACCTACCTACTGAATGTTTTCCGGAACTGAAAAATTCTGCCCGTTCTCAAAGAAAATACAAGATCTAACATTTGTATGAAACATAACAGTTTGGAAGATTTTTATAGAACTTTTTTTTACTTTTGATAAAACGAGGTAAATAAGTAGCGATTATCTCTTTATAAAAATGTTAATAATAATTTTGCAAATATTAACACAACTGTAAACAGCAAGCCAGTACCAATTCGCCATGTGCCAGTGTCTCACTCAATATGCATAATAATAATATTGACTTCATTATCATTGGTAGTAGCTGTACCGTTCCCAATCAGCGCACTTTTAACTTTAATCGTACGTGAGTCGGATGTTGGTCGGATGTGTGTTGTTAGCTTTATTTTTTAAATATCTTTTTTGTGATGGAAAAGTTTTGACTTTTAATTTTCACGAAACGTCAAATTTGACAGTTATCATGTTTACGGGAGGATGAGATGGTTTATTTTGTCTGGTTTTTAGTTAGAAAGTTCTGAAAAAATTAAAATGTTACAGCGATTAATTTATAGTAGTTTTGAACTGAAAATATCTCGTAAAAATTCACAATTATTGTTTAATATTCCGACGACAACTAAATGGTGTCAGGAGTGTGGAACCAGGTTATACTCTCGATACAAGGCGCCAGTAGTAATACGAAATAATTATGAAAGAAACTTCTGTAATAAATATGCGGCATTCAATCATAAAATCCGCTGGTACACAACCCAAGTGGATGCTGAGAAGAAAAGTGAACATATCGAAAGTGTAAAAGAAAAAAAAGCAATAGAATCTACGAAAAAGATCAATGTCAAATTAAAGACATCAGATATAAAACGATTATTTTCACTAGCAGAGCCAGAAAAATGGACCCTAGCTGGTAAGTTGACATACAGCACTTTAAACAATTTATTAGAAAATAATAACAAACAAACAGTAACTGGCAATTGTTTTGTTTGTAGGTGCTATTGGTTTCCTGGTAATATCGTCTAGTGTTACTATGGCTATACCATTCTCACTGGGAAAGGTGCTGGACATCATATACAGTAGTACAAGTGACTTGGGTGCTGCCCGGGAGAAGCTGGACACATTATGTTTGATGTTATGTGGAGTATTCCTCATTGGGGGTCTTTGTAACTTTGGAAGGGTTTATTTGATGTCAATATCAGGTAATCGAAAAATTAAACAAATTAATGTGAAGTTAGTTTATTTACAAATAAAAGAAATATTATAACTATATATATAATATAAGTTTAGTTTGCAAATATGTACTAAACTAAACAGATTTCAGTATGTTAGGTTGGCACTATGGCCATGTATGGCACCATCAGTCTGAACTTGTATGGTTATAACACATTTATGACACATCAGGGAATCCTAGTGTAGGGGAAAGTTTATTTTAAATGAAGAAAAGAAGAAATTTAAAAATAAGTTACAATGTCTCTTTCATACATTTTAGGTCAAAGAATGACACAATCTCTTCGCAAGCAAGTTTATGGTGCAATAATGAGACAGGAAACTGCTTGGTTTGGCAGAACCTCAACTGGAGAACTAGTCAACAGATTATCGGCTGACACTCAGCTTGTGGGCCGGAACCTTAGTCAAAATGTCAGTGATGGTTTGCGCTCACTTTTTATGGTTGGTGCAGGGACCGGGATGATGGTAAGATAATCTTTTTAATATGTTAATTATATTAATTAACCAAGCAGGTAGTTGAGACAGCTGATATATACCTGTACTGTAAACAGCAAGAACTTTTATTTACACACATGCAACAACACATTGTCTCATCACATGTTGTAGACAGAAACTACAGTTTTATTGAAAAATCAAGGATATTAAAAAAAGGAATAAGTATTTTAAAGAAATTTTCTGTTAGATGTGCCAAGTTGATTATGAACTATAGTATTATTGAATTGTCAAACTCTGAATTATCAGTTACATAGAAATGGACTCGATGGCAATTCATAAAAAAAAGATATACTCAGAATTCTTCAGTCTCAAGTATTATGCATTGTTATTTTTCTAGTTTTTTTGAATAGACAGTAACTTTGAGACACAAGTATGTTATTCAAAACTTGTATGTATTTTATCAATGTAATATTGGGGTCAGATTACATCACCTCACTTTCAGTGGCCTAAATATATGATATATAATAAGAGTAGATAACAAGTGTCAATGAATTGTAAATTGAATTATTTTCTCTCTTGTAAGTCATGATTATTGTTATATTTTATTTTTCATAAATTAAACATTGATTGAATTTTGTCACTAGTCACCATTACACAAAAAAACTCCTTTTTAAGTCACTTAAAAAGAGCATCTGTCTGTCCTTTTTTGTTTGTTTGAACGCAACCCCGGCTTGACATCAGCCCTGTAGGGCCTCGTCTGTGGTGGTCTATTGGCACCTTGAGGCGTGCGCGGAATGCTACGCGCCGTACGCTCGAGTCTGGTTCTGGTCGGGCGGCGAGCTATCCTGACTCGCCGTCCGCAGACCCGCGCATACGGTGGCTGTAGAGATCACCTTCGATCCCCGACGCCCGGAATATCGCCTCCTGCGGCGGCTGAAGCATGTGAAGGATAGTTTCCTCACGCGCTCCGCCTCCTCCTTTGCGAGCATCACTGCTTCGCAGAAAGAGGATACTACTTCCCAGTTCTTCTCGCTACAAACCATAAACTACTGAATCAGTTTCTGTGAAATTTGGTACAGACATAGTTGAACTCTAGAAAAGACTTAGGATAGTTTTTTACCAAAAAATTTGTAGGAAGTCACTATTCCACGCCAACGGAGTCGCGGGCAAAAGCTAGTACCTATTCAATAATAATGATACACTTCTATTTATAACTGAATATTTAGTTATTTCATAGCACATGAACAGATTTTGACAGTTTTTGATAACACACAAATATTAATTTTGGAATTTGGATAAGCAATGTTTGCTATCTTAAGTGGTGTTTACATATGAGACATTTTAAACTACCTGTACCTTATTCCGTATTTTTTTACACTTAAGATAAAATTAAATATTTGTTTTCGTTTTTTTTAGATTTTTTGTTTTAGGTATGTCAATAAAATACTTATTGGTCGAGTGATCATATGAATGCCGAGCGAGGGTTGGGCACATATTAAGTTATGAATATTAAAATCAAGGTGTACACTATGATATAATGTAGTTATAGGATCGCCCCAAACTTAAGTTTATTCTTCACATTCCGTGGACAACTTTCTACTTCTACTGTGGAATAAAATTGGGCGTATTTTGTGTGGAACATCATTAATTTGTATTTGTTTTTTTTTTAGATTTACATGTCTCCATCCTTGGCGCTGGTCGGGTTGTGTGTGGTGCCACCGGTGTCTATGTTGGCTGTGATATACGGGAGATTTGTGCGCGGTATTACAAGGCAGCTACAGGATGCTCTAGCTGAGTCTAGCGAGGTAAATGATATTAAACTGAAGGGGAATTATAGCTCCCCCTTGATCTTGAGAAGAGATACTTAGTTAGCTGTTGGTATTTTTTGGCAGGTGCCTTTTTATGGTTCTAAGATTTATCATGTCTTGTGCTGCCATGTGCTTGTGAGCCCCATTTACCTTAAAAAAAGAGATTCGTTTATCGTTTACAACAAACGTTTACGGCAAACTTCGTTCCTTCTCATAATTAACTAATGCTTTCTAACCTTTTAAACCTTCCCTGGACTTCCATGAGTATTTCAAGACCATAATTAGCCAAATCGGACCAGTCGTTCTCGAGATTTAGTGAGACTAACGAACAGCAATTCATTTTTATATATAAGAAGAAGATAAATTTTATAAATACAGGGTAGTTTTATACGTAAACAATGGATAAAAATGGAATACAAACACTCCCGCCCGAAGTCTGATTCGAATCCGATCCGAACCCATAAAAATTCATGTCATAGTCATAGCCGTAAAAATATTTCTGTGGTCATCCGAATTCTTTCTCATATAGCTGAGAAGAGTTACACTTGAAGAGATGTTTTTAGCCATAGTATTTGTAAGATCATAAAATTTGTGTGACTGTGTAAGCACTCTTAGCGCTAGTTTTTCGAATTCCTCATTGAACATAATTTTTAGTAAATTTACGACTTTTAAACTTTCTGGGAAACTAAGTACAAGTTTTTAAAAGGCCGCTTACGCGTTAACCTTTCTTGTCGTGTAAGTCTTCTTACTTCAGGCGTACATCAGGCGATTTGCCTATCTGTAGCGTGAATCTTCCGGGTGAGAAAGAGGGATGGAGCTAAAAAAGGTGTATAACTCCATCCCTCTTTCTCGCCCGGAAGATTGACGCTTTAATACGTCATGGTAGGCCCTTTGCTCTCGATACTATATAAAAAAAACATAGTTATGAATTGATAATAAGCCATTTAGATCATTCTAATAGCTATTGTATTAACTAATTTCTAACTAAAATGCTCTTGGAACAATTTTATGCAGATAATATTGTTCTCTAAATGATTGTTTTTGATATTATCTATTGATTAGCCACTTGTTATGTTATCACAATGTTCAATGAAGTAGGTAGTAAAAGTAATATTATGTATCCATCAAATTGAATATGTGACGTGTTTGTTAATGTAAAATTTCTACTTTCACTCGTCTGTCCTTGTGCTAAGGCTGAATATCTCTAAGCTAGTTCGGTCTGGTCGGGATTATTTTATGTAGGATTATTGTTATTTTTTGGCCACGACTTTCGTTCACACATTTGGTACACCTACAAAAATTTACCGTGGAACACCTTTGGTGAACCAAATCTAAGATTTGGATAGATTATGTATTTCTGAAATACTATGAACAAAACAACACAAATATTTAAAGGGGAACCCTACGCGCGCGTGTCCGACTACCACTTGACAGTTTTGGGACAGTGTAAAATTTTATACGTGTGAAGTAACAACGAATATATCTTGTTCATTACCGTTACATCCTTACTTGACATGAAATGTGTTTTATGTGCGTTTTTTCTAACTCATGTATCACTCAGGCGTCAGAAATATTAAACCAGAATTGGCGTTACACTTTCATTAGAAATCTATATTATAATATTGTGAAGAGGAAAGATTTGATTGGTTTGGTTTGTCTTTAAATTAGCTCCGTAACTCCTTGACCGATTTGAATAATTCTAGGCTAAAGACTATGCGAATTAAAAGATAATAAAAATATAAAAAGTACATTCAAAAGGCAAAATCATTTATTTCAATTATAATTTAATGCACTTTTGAACATCAAACATAGCCTGAAGATAAAAAGCGTCAATATGTCGTCTTAGTAAAGCTATTTGCATTAGCATTATAATCTGTAGGAGCATAGCAAACAACTTATGTACCTTTTGACATTAACTATTATGCGCATCCATTTTTGCGCAAATGTTGTTTTTTCTGGCGCAACTCAAAATCCAAGTTTTTTTACGTCTTTTCGGTAAACGATCAGATTGTTTTGGTAAGCAATCAGAGCCGTCCATGGGTACTCGTAATACCAAAGGAGTTACTATAAGTACGTTGTCGGCTTCATGTGGGTTATGAAGGATGTAAGGGTAGGAGATTTGAGGATTGAGGACGGGGAGGGAAGATTTGGACCTCCGATAACCTCACTCACACGGCGAAACACAAAGTAGGTAAGTGTTGTATCACGCCGGTTTTCTGTGAGGCCGTGGTGTAACACTATGGTGGATCTGGTCCATTCGTGCCGAAAAAGAAGCATGGCTCTCCCACACTTTCTAGTTCTAGAAATGTGTCGTTAATTTATGTTATTTAATTTGCAGTTGGCCGAAGAGAAGATTTCAAATATAAAGACTGTGAAAGCATTTAGTAAGGAGGAAGCAGAGTGTCGGACTTATGCACAACGAATAGAAAATTTGTTGCAACTTGCGTACAAGGAATCGTTAGCTGTTGGTAGCTTCTATGGACTGGTAAGCAAGAAGTAATTATGTACTAGTTACGGAAAATTGTTTGTTAAAACATCGGAAACAATTTCCGTACAATAACAATAGAAATTCAGTTTTACCTTGGTCTCAATACCGATATTATACAATGCGTAGTAATAGTTTATTTAACTCATGTTGAATATAACTTTCGAATTTCTTACACAAAAAATTGAGGATTTATAACATACCTGACTAAAAATGGCTGCAGTATCGGTAATGTATGGGTCGTTTTGGGGATAAAAAGCATGATTTATATGCTATGTAGGTATGTGTTTTTATGCTAATAATATAATAGCATAATAATATATTAGCATTAATACACTTTATTAAGGAAACTTTGTATGGCGTAATACTACAAATTATATCTCTCTTTATCTTCATTGGCTAATTTATTTTTGCTACATTTTAAGTTAAGTTTAAAAGAACTACTCTTTAACTTACAGACGGGCCTCGCAGGGAACACGATAATAATCCTAGTCCTTTACTATGGAGGTGGTATGGTAGCCACAGAACAGCTGACAGTCGGCAATCTAACGTCATTCCTTCTATACGCTGCGTATGTTGGTATTAGTATTGGCGGGTTAAGCAGCTTCTACACAGAGCTGAATAAAGGATTGGGCGCTGCGACTCGACTTTGGGATATTATTGATAGAGAACCTGCTATTCCTGTTTCAGGTATTAATTTGTTCAATCTCTTCCTATATGTATATATGTAATTTCGTATTGCAGTTGCAAATGTTGAAAGCTTTAATAGCTACCTATTTGATGTATGGGTTGCGCAAAGTTGCGCAAAGTTGCGCAAAATAGCGCTACTATGTTGGTAGACATTGCGTGACATTACGATTTTGTCTGATTCGTTATTGCGCACAACTTTAGGTTTGAAATTGGTACAGTAGTGTCTAATTATTTTATACATATAAACTAGCTAACTAAATAAATAATTAGATTCAGAGTATCTTTCTGAAACAAAAACGTGTGTAGTCTTTAAAGATAAAAATCACGTGTTTTTAATTTTTTTACGCACGGTTTTCAATTTTGTATCTGATATAAAATTGATATTTGACCTTTTTTGAAATTATTTGGATAAGTTTCACAAGGGAAAAACACGCAACTATAATAATAACATTATTATTTTAAAACATTTGGGAACAATATTATAGGAAGACTGGCATACTTGAAAAATACTAATAGACTTCTCATGTTAATTCCAGGAGGATTTAGACCAGCACAAAGACCTAAAGGCGAACTGATTCTAGAAAATGTGTTCTTTAAATACGCCGAAGCGCCATTACTGAAAGGAGTCAACTTGCACCTTCAGCCAGGAAGATCAATAGCCTTAGTCGGCAGATCGGGTTGCGGCAAGAGTACTATAGCTTCGTTGATATTGAGGCTATATGATCCTGATAAGGGTAGGGTGCTACTAGATGGCGTGGATATCAAAGATTTGGATCCCCTATGGTTGAGGAGTCACATTGGTTTTGTTAGTCAGGTAAGTTTTAAACAGTAATTTGTTACAAGTGTGTTGCGGGCTTTTTGGGGGTTTGAAATTTGAGTATTGGGAGATTAGGGATTGGGAATGGAGAAGGGAGGCCTTCGGTAACCTCACTTTTAGACGAAACACAAACTAAGCGTTGTTTCAATCCGGGTTTAAGTTAGGCCGTGGCTTCTTTCCAGTGAAGCTGGCTCATTCGTGACGAAGTGCGAATTCGAATCGGAAAGGTTATCATTTTCCAACTTAGATTAGTTTTTTTGTTTTCACTTCTGTTTTATAAAAGTCTTCTGCTGAGGTTAGCAAAACAGCATAAAATCAAAATTTCATGCGTTCCGTGGCCAAAGAAAATGAATATATAATATTTTTAATTACGCGGACAAAGTGGCGGAAGAAAAGTAGGCATTAAACATTTATTAATTGGATTTTGAACTTTGTGTTAACTTAACATGACACGACATAAATGACAATATTTCCGTAAATAAATAATGATAAACAACTATTTTTTACACATCATTGATGACTATGTTGATAAATACATCATCATTGTCATAAATATGTCATCATTGTCATATGTGTTTTTTTAAGTAAAAGTCTAGAGAGGGTTGGATTCCTTTTCAGGGATAAAACATAGCCTTAAAGCCAATATGCTTTATAATTCTTTGAATTATGATGATCTAGTATTTTGAGGATTTGAAGGGATATCTTTAATACATTTTCTATTATTTATAGTAAGAGTTGTACATTCGATCAAGGGGACATTACAAGTATTAGATCGATTTTTAGTCTCGAATATTAACATAAGTCGGTGGTTGACTGTGCATAAACAAAGAAAAATTTAACCTAAATATGTAATGAACTAGGCAAAATGTAGCTTCTTAGATTATTACGTGAATTATACTTTTGTTTATCTAGCAACATGAAGGTTATCGCACTTATCAGAGTATTTAGGTAAAAAGTGAATTTTATTATGAAACACGTGTTTTACGCACTGGTTTTACTTGCTTGTGTTAATACTAATTAGTTAATTAATTAAATGGGTCAATGCAAATAAGTAGGTACTTTTTTAATGGAAGGTGTTGGAATGCAAAACAAAAACAAATGGCGCGTGTAACAAATAAATCATGTTATGTAATAGGATTAACCAAATTTTTGTTTTATCTTTGCCCCCACAATAAGATTTTTTCCTGTGTCGTGGATGCGGTTACAAACATACACATGACACCCAAACCCGGAATAACAATTTATAGTTCACTCAAAGAGTTGTTCCGTGCGGGAATCGAACCCGCGACACGTTGCACGGCAGCCAGTTGCCCAGCCACCGCACCAACCGTGCAGTCAAATTAAGCTAACCAAACGTCTTATATCGTTATTTGTTGAGATTTAGAGCGCCAAACAAGCAGTCTGTACCTGAAGGTAAGCAATCGGCTGGTGCGGCCCGTTGACATTAGAGACAGTTAAAAGTGCGTTAAAGGCCTTTCAGTGAAGTTTTGTCCAGTAAACTCATTTACACGATGTAATACAGCGTTGTTTCATGCTGGTTTCCTGTGAGGCTATGGTCTGTCTACTAACCATGGCCCTCATTACAGTATTCAAGTTTAAACTATGTTATAAGACTGTAGCTCAACACTTTTCACGTTTATTAGTGTAAGAATAAAAAGCTTAGCATAATTTGTTCAATGTGAGTGTCTAAATTAATTATTATGTTTTCGGCTTATTCACGTAATAATTTGACGAGATACTCGACTAGTTTCAAGCCATGCTAGAGGCCCATATTCATGAGCAGCATTCCGCGACACGCGACGTAAGTAAGCCGAAAACATAATAATTAATTAAGAATGTCTCACGAAAGTTATAAAAAAAAATGTTAGTGTCTGTCATATTTTTTCTATATTTTTACTTTTTTATTTTAATGGAAAAATACACTATGTACTTACTTACGTCTACCATGACAAAATCTTGCAATGTTAGCAGCCGATTAACTATGTTTTATTTTATTTGTTTCAGGAACCAGTATTATTTAGCGGAACAATAAAGGAAAATATTCTATATGGTGCTATAGATGAAGATATTGATAATGAATTATTACACGACAAAAATGATAAAGTAAGTACTTATTAGATATTTTTTCTGTCTTTGATTTTTTGTCATCCTTAGGTATTATGTAAATTTACTTGCAAAGAAATAAATGAATATTTGATTTGATACTTAGACTATACAGGGAAGATTATTTATTATAATGTTTAACGTTATTTAAATATTTTCTAATTATAAAATTAGAAATGTCTAAATATCTTGTGACGTCACTACTAAGTAGATTTTGAATTGAGTATTTTCTATACTAATTTTCCATATATTTAATAAAATTACTCTAAAATTACATTTTTAAATATTACTATAAAATAAAATAAAATAATATTTAAAAATATAAAAGTAGGTGCCAGCCGGCAGCGGGAGCAAGGTCCAAGCTACCGGCAGTTAGGGCTCCAAAGACAGGAACCTCCTCACAATACGTGCCGTTTCAAGGAGGACTGCCTTCTGTATGAGGCCCTTGATCCATCCGCCTAACGTCAGCCTCTTAAGGTGGTTGTCGAGGCTTTTGGGGACTAACCCATTTGCCGACACAACTATCGGCACAACGATAGCCGAGTCCACACTCCACATGTCAACAACCTCGTGAGCTAAGTCAAGATATTTCAATTGTTTATCTTTCTCAGCTTTCACGAGGTTCTCGTCATGAGGAATGGCAACATCGATTATCGTCGTGCGACGCGCTAGTCGGTCTACCAACACTATGTCAGGCTTATTGGCTACAATAGTCCTGTCTGTGATGATAGACCGATCCCAGTACAATGTGATATGGTCTTTTTCGAGAACTGGGTCGGGCACATACTTGTAGTACGGAACCTCAGACTCAACAAGCCGGTATTTCAAAGCAAGTTGCTGATGAATAATCTTGACCACCTGATTATGTCTGTGCAAGTATTCGCCATTAGCCAAACGACCACAGCCGGAAATAATATGTCTGATGGATTCACCGGGGCTATGACATGCCCGACATATGTCAACCGTCCCATCCTTCATAATATATTTCCGGTAGTTATTCGTGAGGATAACTTCGTCCATAATTTCATATACAAATCCTTCAGTTTCTCCGAAGAGGTTACTGAATTACTGAATCGTAGCCAAGCTACGGACGCTAGGAAATCTACATCGGGCCCGTGGAGAGCCCGGAAAAAGCGTCCGTGAAGCTCCTTGCTACTCCATACCGTCTTGCGGTCATTGACGCTCAGTACTACGGGTTTGCACCAGTTCTCTTTAGCCAAGGATAGTGGTGTGAATCCCTTGTCCACTGTGACTACTTCTCGATGCATATCCTCGTCCACTTTCAGGAAATGTTCTCTGAGATTGCACACCTCACGGTTGTGAAGGGTCTTAGCGTTTAGAAAGCCTCGACCCCCATACGCTTCCGCGGGATGTACAACCTCATGACTGATGAACGAGGGTGATGCATTCGATTTGCAGTCAGCAGCGTCCGGACTCGTCTATCCAGGGTGTCAAGTTCAGTCTGAGTCCATTTGAGTATGCCAAAAGAATACATCAGGACCGGCATGACCCAACCGTTAAAGGCTCGCACCTTGTTGCCGCCTGATAACGAACTTTTCAGTACCTTATTCAGGCGGCCAAAGAAGCGCTCCTGTAAGGATTGTTTCATGTGCGGCCCATTAATACCCAATCCTTCCGACATACCCAAATACTTGTAGGTATCATTTGCGGAGAGTGATCTCAGTTTTGTGAAATCTGACAGCTCTAGGTTTTCAGATTCCACTATACCGCCTCGCTTTACATGCATGACCGCACACTTATCAACACCAAACTCCATTCTGATGGAACTACTAAAATTTTTTGTTATTTTTAGTAGTTCCATCAGCTCCTCCTTGTTTGGTGCAAACAACTTGAGGTCATCCATGTAAAGTAAGTGGGAAATAACGTGACCTTTTCTCCGCAAACGATAGCCCAGCCCTGAAGCCTCAAGTAAAGTACTGAGAGGATTCAAGGCCAAGCAGAACCACAGTGGGCTCAGACTATCACCCTGGAATATTCCTCGCACTATCCTTACAGGTTCTTCACTCCTTTGGATTTGCTTACATCCTGGGTAGGAAAGCACCGTGCTCCACTGCCTCATACATGACTGTAAGAAGGTGCGCAGAGTTGTATTAATTTTATACAACTCCAGCACCCTCATAAGCCATGTATGTGGTACGGAGTCATAAGCCTTTTTATAATCTATCCAGCATGTAGACAAATCCTTTCGAGATCGACGAACCTGCTGGCTAATGACCATATCAATGAGGAGTAGCTCCTTAGTTCCACGTGACCCCTTTCTACATCCATTCTGAGAGACAGACATGATGAAATTTTTTTCTATATGTTTTGTTATTTTTGCTCTCAAAATGGATGTAAAAAGTTTATAGACCGTTGGTAAACACGTAATCGGTCTATAATTTTTGGGTTCAGTGTAACTACCTGATTTATGGAGCAGGTGGGTAATTCCTGCAGTCAGAAACTGAGGCAACGATCCAGCTTCTAAGGCCATCTGAAACTGCGACGCTAAGCGATCGTGTGAACTGGAGAACGATTTCAGCCAAAAGTTATGCAGTCCATCCGGCCCCGGTGATTTCCAATTGGGGACCGAACAGGCTGCATTGGCTACATCAGAGGAGGTAATGACTACCTTCTCCATCTCTGGTAAAGTTTCACACTCCCGCTTTACATCGCACATCCAGTCAGCCTCCGTGTGGTTAACAGGCACCGACCAGATGTTGCGCCAAAACGAGTTGGTAGTTTCATCGTCCGGCCGCTGTCGGTTAACCACATCTTGGCTGGACCGTTCCCAGTCTCTGTACACCCACCTCTGATCGCTTTGGAACATACGATTCTGAGTATAGCGCTCTACCCTTTTTTTATATCTTCTAATACGGTTTGCCCATGCATAGATTTTCTGCTTCAGGAAGTCGATGCGCTCTGTAACACGTGTAAGGTATTCATGAGGACTAGTTTCAGTCCCCACAAATGCACGCCTTACAAAGCGCATCACTCTAGGGCGGTTATTCCCCTCCCTGAAGCAGGTTAGTTTGCCGATGAGTACCCTGGCCTCATCGATACGACGCTCAATCCTGCACTGCCAGGCAGGAGCAGCTGGTTTCGGTCGGACTGCTGCGTCAAGATTTGGGAATCTGACGTTAGCTACTCGACAAGCTGCTATCGCCCCACAATACAGGATCGAGTGTGTATCATAGAGATTTTCGCTACTTTCAAAATAATTTTCGAGTAGCGAATCCAAGGCACACACCAGCGCCCTATTTTTTCCACACATGGGCAAACGTGGTAATTTGGGTCTTAGTTCACTAGGAGCAAATCTATACTCATGTATCGCATCCTCCAAAGCGTTCCTCAATCTCTCATTGCACTGAGTACTCACTTGTTCAACCTTATCGTCCTCTACGTCAGCAACAGGAGTGGCGAGTGTGGCATTTTCCACAGGAGTTTGTGTCGCCGACTGGGAAGAAGTGAGGACGACCCGGTTGTGTAGTGTTTCTAAGCGCAGCCGATCAAGTGCAGCATCGTCCAATCTGCGACTGCGTTGAATGACACGCACCTGATCCGATAGTCGCTGGGCGGAGACGTTGACAGATGGCTCAAGCACCTGAAACAGAGACAACATCCTGTCACGGTACGCAGTGAGGTTAGTTCCTCCCTCTGTAGCACCATAATACGCGCGCATGACGTTCTCATTCATGGATTGAGACCATTTCATGCGCCGCGCACAACCACCGGTAGCGGGGATCCGTCCCGGAGCCCGTTGGCCCCTGGTTCCCAAGCCCATCGGTGGCCGGCCTCTCCTCTGCCGACGTTCAGGTGCCGGCGACGCCAGCGGGGAGAAATATTCGTCGCTCGAGCTCGACGCAACTGCTATCACCGGCGATCGTGTCGTTCTGGTTTCCGGCGATGGCGAGGCGGAGCTGAGCGACGAGTCCGGGGATGGTGGGGGTGCGGCTCGTGCTCTTGCTTTTGCCCTTGTCAACATTCTGGTTTTAGCTTTTACATAACTTTCTTGTATTTTATTAATTTGATATTTTTCCTGGTGATGTTTGCTGTCATTGTCATTTCTTGTTAGTTTTTATTTTGATTGTTGTTAAATTTATTTTATTCAAAAAGATCTTCTATAAAATATTGCTTCGAGGATGTATGATTTGATTTATATTATACTGTTAATTTAAAATGAGAAAATTAATATAAATACATATTTTAAAAAAGCTACGTAAAATTTTGATGTTGACAAGTCCAGTGTTGCAAGTTATTCCTAATATTATTAAGAGGTAAAATTTGTAAGTTTGTATGTAGGGGGTAGTATTAGGAACCACTGGTCGGATTCCCAAAATTCTTTCAGTTAGAGATAGCTACAATGTTTCCGAGTGCTATAGGCTATAAAAGATCACATTGTAATCAAATGGAGCCGAGCAGCGAGTGAAACCGCGCGGAATAAGTTAGTTTTTAATAAAAATACGCGTTTTTCACTATTTTGCTGACGAACTAATTCGATCTTTAGTTTCATATTCTGTTATCCCCATTACCGTCGTTTGATGAGTTTGTTAGTCCCCATTAGGCTATTTGTATGGCAAATTGTTGCTTTGACAAAATAAATGAAAAATATTTTAAAAAGTAATGTTACTTCATGATCTAAGGCGTAAATTAAGTCATGGACATGGACATTTTGGCAGCCATCACTCCTGGTTTCCTTACTCGTAAAGAGGAGTCGGAGTGCTATGAAAGTGACGCTTACCAATGGTGCCAAAAGTAATATCGTATATGGTACCTGTCTATTATATTTAAAAAATAAATATTATATGTATAAAAATAATATCAAGTAGATGAGATTATTAACTTTAAGTATATTAAATAATACAAATATAAAATACTCTACTACTATGAGTATCTTGAACATCTAAAGATAACAAATAATATGTAATAAATATTATAAACATAACAACAATTTCAACTCATAATGAGTAATAAATCTATCTGTAAGATATTTGAAAATTAACCACAACCGATCATATAAACATGACAATGCATGACTTGGCAGAAAATGATTTGTAGAAATTGATATAATTTATTAATCTGCAGAAATACTGCGGAACTATGACTTAACTATAACGCAGATCCAGTTACCCCTAAATGCATGCAAAAGGGTTATTGGTACTAGCATTGCCTTTGTTTCTCATTAATGCTCCATTTGACTTCTTACATTTATAAAGTTTATTGAGGGACTTAGACTTTCCGCGTGCGCCACACACAAAATACCAAATTGGGTAGTTTCCTAGGTCAAAAATAAATAAACTCAACGTTTCAATACAATAAAATATTGAAAAATAACTATACTTTTATTCATCGGTCGATCGATACACTAAGTTTTCGATATTTTGTAGCTAATTATTAAGAAATAAGTAAGCTATTTGACGCAAAAAGACTATGACGTCATACCTCAGTTTTTCATACAAATTTCATAGAAAAGTATCGTTTTTGACATTTGGAAAAAGTATTGAATTTGTCTAGTATGAAACTACCGTATTATACATACCTACCCATCATGCCCATGATTCCTAAACACTTTCTGTAATTAGTGTTCTTACTTAGACCAAAAATACATTTTAATCGTATAAATTTCGTTCTTTCTTTAATTACAATTGTTGGAAAAATATCTTATTCAATTCCAAAGCAATAAATTCAGCAAAATATTGCATTCAGTGTCAGAAGTAAAATAATTTTGTAATCGAAACTAACTGAACTAAAAAGTTCACAGGTTTACATCTCTTTCTTTCGTGGACAAATTATTATTGGTTTTTCTTTCTTTCATGTTTGACTTGCAAAATGGCGTTGCATAATATTGAAACACGGCAGTAGTGATTTGCCGTTGTTGATTAACTTTACAATTGGGTAGTTTCCTAGATCAAAAATTAATTAATTCGACGTTTCAATACAATAACGACTCCTCGGTTGGTGCGGTGGCTGGGCAACTGGCTGGCTGGCGATTTGACGATATACTTAATTTTAGATTTCTCTAGATCTCTCTAGTTAACTTTTTAAAAATAAGTATGCTGTTTGACGTAAATTGATATCCCAACCGTATGTTGGTATCTCATAAAAAAATTATAGAAAGGTATAGTTTTTGACATTTCAATAAAAGTAATAAATTTATTTGGAAAAAATAAAAATAATAACAATTCGGCGTTATTATTTTAATTATTTTATGTTACCAACAAAATGTTAGAGTACCGTTTACCTGTGTAGTTCATATCTTGTCAGTTCCTTAGATATTACTCCAGTGTTTCATGATGTCATCAATCACTGTGATTGATCTTCGAAATTGGTGAAAGTTTTGGCAAAGTTTAGTATTTAAAATTGTTGTAAATTTTTAATCAACCTTGCCAAATACAGTTGCCAATTGCCAAGGTATTCTAGATCTATAGATAGGGTATTGCTATTTCTTTATGATCGAAGTTCCTATGGAAATATTGTTTCTAGGTCATAAAAGTGTCACCCAAAAATAGTCCTTAGATGATGCCGTTAAAGTCTATCCCCATTTTTAAATACTTCTAAGACATCACTACCTTTCTTCATGAAGTAGGTACATCTTACACATACGTGATTAATTTGTATATTTAACCAGTCGTACAGATAACTATATAAAATAGTACGTAATTTCTTAATAAATTACCCACTTTATATGGTTTCGTATTTTCAAATAATTTTTTACATTTTTCTATTTGAGTTTTAAGTAATTAATCAGCTATAACTTTTCTATTGCTCAATTTATTTTCGAATTTAACATAAAATTAACGTAAAATTCTATTTTTATTATTGCTTTTCTTGTATCAGATGTGCAGAATTTCTTTTAGGAAAATGCATTTTCCATGTACCTCATTATATGTATTTACATATAGGTTCATATACTTACATACTACCAATTTTTTCAAAAACAGCATGCTATAAAATATATTTATTAAATACCTTTTATTTCTATCATAGAAAGACTTACCGTGGTTGGCGGCAGCTCGAACGGCGCATTTAGAAGAGCTCGTTCACGCTTCTAGTAACGGGTTTGAAAGGCAGGTCGGCGCGAGAGGCGGCCAGCTCAGCGGAGGTCAGAAACAGAGGGTTGCGATAGCTAGGGCTATTGTTAAGGTACGTATGAATTTTTGTCTTCCATTATCGTTAGTGGAAATGCCTTTAAAACTGGATAAAAGTCTCGGTCTTAAGAATCCTTTGTCCTCAAGTTGGCAAAATGGTTTAAGATACTTGAGCCTATAGTTTACGGACTCGAAAAACAAATAAAAAAATATCGGAAAGCATTATATTTTATACATACTTAACTGTGACGTAGATATAAACTTTAATTCGGTTTATCCAGGTATGTCGTATCGTTGTCTCTGATATTGGACAAATCGAAATTAATTTGTAACCGACGGCAAAAATACGTGTTTTAATCATACCTAACGGCCTTTGGACTTACACTAGTTTATTAATTGTTCGTTCAAAGGCTAGGTAAATGATGAATTGTTTATAATTAAAATGACATTCTTATTGTAAAGGTCGTTTTCCCCGTAAAGGTGAGCGTACACTGAGTTTCCATAAATAAAAAGAGTGAGATGAGTCCCTGTAATATATACTAGTGCTTTATGGAAACGGAACGGAGTGGTTTTTAGTCAGTAAGAGACACTCCCTTTTGTCTCACCACTTATTGGAAAAGTTGTCTGATATTTATCCGCCTTTATAAAAAGCTACAAATATTTGTATATACGAACTGCGGAATTCTGCTTGGTTATGAACTGCGGATTGCTGTCTTGCGGAATTCTGCTTTATTAATTCCAGTTATTAGTTTTTTAAATAGTTAATCACCACCAGAAGAAAAATGCGTTCTTTTTGATGAGGGGGTAAAGTAGTTTTAATGTCGGTCTCTTTCTGTTCTTTTTTCTGCTCCAAGCCAGAGTCACGTCAATTATTGCGCTTGCACCCACAGCCACGACTGGGAGAAAACGTTTAATATTTAAAAAAAGACTTTAGATGTTTGGTGTTAATCGTCCTTAAACATTCCTAACCGTTCAATAAAAATTTTGAAAATCTTTTCTTGAACCAAACTTTATTGACTGATCCACTACTATTATTGAAACGATTCAAACTATGAACTGTGTTTTCCAATCCTAAAATTTCTTAGCAGAAGTTTCTCACAGCAGCTCTCAAAAACTATAAAAACTTGTCAAAGTTAAAGGCTATATTGTGTAATAGCAATAATTAGAACAAACAGTCGTGGCTCTTCCTAGTTCGGTGTACGCCATCTCTAATAAAAGACAGCAAGGTTGAAGACGTTTTAAGGTCTACTATTAACAAATACACATAAAATAACAATAGTAAACAAAAACAAAGTGATTAATATTAATGAGGATTTAGGCATTGTTTCCATATTTAATGAAAGACATTAGTTAAGCACGGGTGTTATAATTACCATCACTTCCCCATCATAATGTATGCGGTAACTTCGAAATGTTGTTTAATTGTTAATATAATTTAAATTACACTTTACTTTTGCCTACCAAAGGGCTCCACTAACCAATGTTTTATAAAAACTTGAAATCGTCGGACGTTCACAGAATGTACAATGAAAAATGCTCATTTTGTATTATTTATGGATGTATTGCAAAATAAACAATCGACAATAACGCTTATATATATATGAAAAAAAAAAAAAAAAAAAAAAAAAAAAGTCGTGGTGGCCCGGAGGTTAACGCGCCCGCTTCTCATGCATGAGGGTGCGGGTTCGAAACCTGGCAAGTACCAATGTGACTTTTTCCGAGTTATATGTACTTTCTATGATTATTTAGACACCACTGACATACGGTGAAGGTAAACATCGTGAGGAAACCTGGACTTATAATTTCTAATTATAAGTTTGAAATCGCCAACCCGCATTGAGCAAGCGTGGTGATTCATGCTTTAACCTTCTCCGTATGAGAAGAGGCCTTTGCTCAGCAGTGGGCACTTATAGGCTGATGATGATGATGATGAATAACGCTTATCGATTTAGCAATACTAATAATCTTAAATCTGTCGATAAGTGTTTACTTAGAATCATTGCATCAGTTCAAAGTTTTCAAAAAACTTCTTGCAATTGATAATAAATAGATTTGAGTCTTAAATAATGTAATGTATAAAAATAGTGACTTAATTCGTAAGTACTTATACGTCCAATGTTCATTTTATTTAAAGAAATTTAGTGATAGTATTATCATTTATATCTTTAAAACCGGATCAATCAAAGATCGAGTGTAATGCGCAAATAGGTATGACTACATATTATATCTTTAATACTGCACGAGTCCAGAAAAATTTTAGGTCTTTTGTAAATTTAAAAATTCTCAGTACTACTAACGTTTATCATGAATGATGAGATTTTTTGAGGGGTGAGATAATAGACTTTCCCCGATCACACGGAACCTATTCACTTGTGGATAGCTGAAGAAAATATGTGTCTTATGGTATATTAAAATTGCGCTGCTTTTCCCTCTTGCGGATTTCATTTGATTTTCCGAAAGGTATCATGTTAAGTAAATTGTATTTTTGCTTGTTCCAGAACCCTAAAATCCTTATACTAGACGAAGCTACCTCAGCGTTGGACACTTACTCCGAATATTTAGTAGACAAAGCATTGAAAGAAATCAGTAAAGACCGAACTGTTCTTACCATCGCTCATAGACTTAGTACCATTCAGTCGGCTGACGAGGTAGTGGTTATGGAGAACGGTGTTATTGTAGAGAAGGGTCCCTACCAAGAACTTATGATGAAACCAGGTGGTTTCTTCAAGGAATATATAAGCCATCAAACATTCGAAAAGAAAAATCGGGAACAAGACATACACTCATAACATATACCTACCTCCATTTAAATTTCCCTAAAGAATTGTCTTGACAAAACGAGTAGGTGTTACATTTTAAATTGTTTTTATTTTTTCCAATATTTTATTTATATGTTCGTGTACTGTTGATAATTGTTATGTTAATTATCCTTTTTTAAACGATGTTATTCAAATAGTGGGCAATAAAACCTGCTTTATATAATATATAAAATATACCTACTTCCTGTTGTTATTTAAAATATTTTAACGGTAATTAGTAAAAACATAGTAAAATGTTTTGTAAATAAACACTATGATTATTTATCAGTGGCTAAGGTGTGCGGTTTCCCGAGATAATATGACCCTAAACGCGAGCAGAAGGTAAATCACTAAGAAATATAAATTGCTATGTGTAATTAATAATTATTTGAAACAAGAAGGTGACCTCATAAACCATCAGCCCCTGCTATTTATCCTGAATAAGTTTGTGATAAATGTATAATTAGGTGATAGTCTATTTTGTTTTATTTATGTGGCATGGAACAAATGCAATATGTGGGATTAATGTGTTCAAAATGACGAATAGTCAAATTGTTACATAATTTATTAAAAAAATGTATCTTATAAGATTTAAATCTATAGAGTGACAAACGGGTAAAGGAATAATTATATTTTGTCTGACACAAATAAAATGGTTGTTGTTAATTTAAAAATGCATTTTATTTATCGCTTCATTCTTTAAGCCATGTTCATAAGTCATTGTTATCAGTGGACTAGGCACGGCTGGTATGCTCCAACCGCACGAAGCGACTGGTATCGTTGCTCATTCATTAGTAGACTGATAAGAAACCGTTTTCGTAACGCGTAACTAGTGTTTACTATGAGTTTTTCATCGCAGCCACAACAAACAGGTTAAATAAGTAAATGGACCTTGCCCTCGGCGAGCGCGGAGAACGCGCCAAAACCCGCTCGTGGAGGCGGCGGCTAACACTTACGCGCTAACGCTTCGCGGGAAAACATTGCTAGCGGAAACATGTCCAATTTGAAAGTTTTGCGCGGGAGTTTAGCGCGGCAAATTCTTAACTCGTTCGTGAGTGGCAAACATGGTAAAAAATCCAACAGAGAACTGTTGTCGTACAGCCGTCTTTTGAGTAGAAGTTTAGCTACTCAAACTGCTACTGCAGTGGATAATAAGTTTTTGACATCGCCATGGGGTGAAATTCAAGTTGGACAGGAAACCTTAACTGATTTTGTGTTTTCGGACGTCGAGTCGTGGGCAGATTCACCGTCTGTGGTAAGTACCCACATTTTTTATTATATTTCTCGGTATGGGTAGACACAAAAACAACTGAATGGATTTATTTCTTTGTTGTTATTTAATTGAAGTGTTTAGATTTTTACATGGCTGGTTGGTTACTTTAGTAAAGAGGTAAATTAAAAAATAATGTCGACCTCTAAAACGCGGTTTGTAAAACATTACATTGCATAGTTGTTTTAGTTCTGTGCTATTTGACGGCGAGTAGATATTTATGTTCAATTAAATCTGAGTGCATTGTCGACTGCACGAATATTGTTACTAGTACAAAGTTCGCTCTACTATACGGATGTTATATGGGAGTGATAGGGACTTATTAATAGTTTGTATTTGAAGGTTAGGGCTACATGTCTGCGCTGTGCCAAACATGCATCTAACAAAATTGGAAACGTATCTAATTGACAACAATATTGTCATGGGTTTCTAAAAATATTCAGAAATTTACCTTGATTGTGTCTTATTTTGATTATTACTATATATAATGATTTTTAATAATTATTACAATATAAAAAAATAACTGAAGACTGTGAAGTGCTTCATTGTGTTAATGATTTGAATATGATATAAACCGAAATTATATTTTAGTTTTTATTAAATAATTCTGCATAGGTACATAATGAGTAACCTTAGCTTCAATTTAAATTCCTACACGCTAGAAGATTTGGTTCTTATCGCGTGGGTAAATTTACAAATAAAACAGTAACTACAGCATTGAATAAGTATATTATAATTTTACCCGTACCTAGTCAAACAGCATTGTGTTGAAATTAAATAATTAACTCTGTTTATTTAAAAATGTGCTTAGGTTTAGTTTACAGCATATAATTATATTAATGTTACATATTTTTTATAAACTGTGTTACATAGTGCAACATGCACTATTAAAATCTCGATAGTACATGATAACAATACAGCCATACTGAAGGCCGGTTGTTGTTCTGGAAATATCTGTCTTATGTTTAATTTGTTAGAGTTCAAACTCAAATAAATATCACACACACCTTCAATGTACTGAGGTAGTAAACCTACTCGAGTTTCCATCTATTATGTAGTTGATCTAATGCCCTTCGTGTAAGATGAAGTTGTAAGGAAATTACAGCTAATTTACAATTTTACAAACGACAACATGTGAATTGAGATCAGAAATATCAACAATAAATTACAGTGCACGTGAGAGAGCTTAACACAGTAATAATACTTCACAATACACAAGGTGCATAGTGCAAATGGTTAATTGTATGCCCATAGTAACAATGGTTCAATTAAAATTAAACTTTAACTTGAAGAAGTAAGGTATTTTTTTGTATTTACTAGGAAGTAAATTGCAAGGATCGCATAAAATATTCCGGATCCTATTGCAGTTATAACAATAGACTGACATAATGTTATTTTGTATGGCAACCTATGGTAAGGCGGTACGTTTCAAAGAGAGATAGATAGGTATTTGTAATAGGTAGGTACTATCACATGAATACGAGAATTAGTTGTTATTTTAGACGTTACGTAGTATACTATTGTCCTTATTCGAATTATTCAATTAAATCATTCAAACGACAGCAAAAATATAAACGCACGTTCATATTTCAAACTACGTTTTTATGCCCATGAATATAAAGATGTAGGGGCTCCCACGACTAAGATCTCGTGCCAAATATTCTTGTACAAATTTATACGTTATTTCAATATCATAAACTGGACTTTGGAGTTCATTTTTGTAGATACAATAAAGGTTACGTAATTATACTGTAGTCTATAATTACGGGCCAAAGTCCAATGACCCACATTTCGGACCACGTGTAGTAATAGTTTATTTACTCTGTTATTTACGACTTTCCTAGACTTTACACTATTACCTATTTGTGAAAAATGTTATCGCTCGTTATGTCAAGGTTTTTGAAGTCAGCGGTTTTCGAAATGTCACGTTTCAGAAATAATCGTTTTATTGAATTTTGATCTTTCGACGCATCTCAATCTGTCGTTTCTAAAATTATCTTTGTATGTATTTTGGTCTTCACTAAGAAGGTTAGGAGATACCTAGGTGTGTATAGTAACATAGTAACCAACCAAAAGTCCATGTACCTAACTCGTAGTACCTAGGACCTATGTTTATTTTTTAATGTTAACACCATTTCATGCTAAGACGTTTGTTTTGCCAAAAGTTATACCTATATATATAAGTATTTATATATACTTATATAGATAGGTGCAGGATATCTGCCAACTGAGACCTATGATGGCAGACGGAATGTGGGTAGGAATGGGGTATGGTGGTGATGGTTTTCTCACTGCCTGTCGAGCAGACTCACACGACAGATCGGTTGATGGCTAAAGGTGTCTTGGCCACAGTGAGAGGTGGAGGAAGGGTAGTGAGTCAAAGTCGGAATCAACTTAATGACTCGTTTATTGCTTAATCTACATGATCTTATATACTAAACTTATCCTATGTACACACATACCACATTATGATTGTGTGCTATGCGTGTAATGTACCATCTCAGTGCTATATACCTTACGTGATTACGTGATGTTTTATTAGTTTTATATATTTAATAAGTAATATGTTTTCCTTATTTTAATCACGTAGGATTATCTCGCTGAAATGGCACGTTCATGTGTGAACATAAGTCCTATAATAACACTTAAATACTTTGAAATCTTCACACCTGCAGACCTGAAAGATATACTTAATTATTTTTCCTTTTATCTCCTAGACATGTGGCGCATCAGGTCGTTCGTACGACTATGGCATGATGCGAATGATGATCGAGAGATGTGCGTGTGCCCTCGCTGGTCCACTGAAGCTGGGCCCCGGAGAGAGGCTCGGCCTCATCCTGCCTAACATTCCCGAATTCGTTGTCCTGATCCACGGAGCCATGAGGGCGGGACTTGTTGTTACCTTTGCTAACCCACTGTACACGGCTGGTAAGATAATTTCTTTTTCTATTTGTTTACGGTACCTACCCTATTTAGTTTTTAAGGTTGTCTATGTAGCTTCATTTTTAACTTAAAATGTTATTTGTACATCAGTGTTTAAAAAACAGGCATCTACTGAAATAATCTATTAAAAATATCAAATTATTTCTGTTGCGATTTTGCGATTTTCTTCTGACTAATAACCGGTCTGACTGATTTTGTATATACGAAACTGTAAAAAGGAAGGCTTAGGAATCAGGGGAACTGAAGTCTCTTGCCCACCTTTGTTATTATAAACTTAAATTTACTCCGCTTCTTCGATAAACAAACGTAATGAATACATGACGAGTTAATTTGTGTTATTGTAAAGTGTTTTAGGCTATTTTGTTCCAATTTATTTACTTTGAACAAAGTCCATTTCATAATAATCACTCGAGTCGTGGACTTTGGTCGAATAGGTAAGTAAGTAAATAAGTAAGTACCTATCTTTCTTAGCAGTAGAATAATTGGACCTTAAGTCCCCGAAAACTCGGACGTAAAAGTTGAAGTGTTTTAGCCTATTTTATTGACTTCGATCAAAGTCCATTTCATAATAATCACTCGGGTCATGGACTTTGGTCGATAATTGAACTACCTATCTTTCTTAGCAGTGGAATAATTGGACCTTAAGTCCCCGAAAAGACTGACGTAAAAGTCATATAAAAGTTATCAAATTCCTAAGTATTGTACAATTGCTGATAGAGTTCAAAGTCTATAGTTTTTTTTTAGAATTGGGAAAGTAAATTTATGACCAGATTAGCTGATAGGTTACCTATCTGGGTAAAACCGGTGCACCACGTACTTACTTAGATAAGGGTGATTAAAAGATTGCCATTGTGACCTAAACAAACATTTGTTTTATGCGGGCATTATTATACATCTGAGGATTTCATATAATATGTTTATGTAGGTTTACGGTATAGCCACACCAGGTACGTAAATCTAGCTTGCTTCTTGCATCTACCACTGGATTGTATCTGCATAACCCTAAGGTAGACTTAAAGAGAATGCTCATTGCTTTGAGTCGGCCTTGTGCATAATTTTTGGAGGTGCATGAAGTTTTTAATAAATATTTTTTTGCAAGTTACAACTCTTGGGCGAGAGCGGTGCTATTATAAACTATAACCCCTATATTTTAAAGCTTCTTATTATGAGTAAAATATTTTATTGGCAAAATAGAAAAGATGCACTGAGTATTCAAAGAAGAAATACGTGGCTTCAAATAGCTTTGATGAGTGAACTTAATCAGTCCTGAGTTTCGTTTTCGGATCGGACAAAGTACACATTCAACACCACCCGGGCTTTATACAAATATTTTAAATTAGATAATGTTGACTTATTTGAGTAGTTATTTATTTACATTTGTGTTCTATTACATTTTTGATAAGATAACAAGTGTTTGTTCCTCGTGCTCGTCTAGTCGACATGTGCTTGTGCGTGTCGGTA